CCTTAAGGCTGCCGCCCCCTCCAGGAGGTCCAGGCAGCCTGATCGTGGGCCATCAGCACGGCAGCTGGGCCGCAGGCTTTGCCCTCGGCCCGCCGCCAACCCCTGCAGCGCCTTGCATCAATGCTTCCAGCTCGAAGGCAGCGCCCCAGCCGCCAGCCCAGCCCACACACGTTTCTGGGTCGTGCCAGGGGCGCCCGCAGGCGCCCCTGCACGGCGCTGCCAGCAAACCCGCGAACGCGCCGCCCACTTCCCCCCATTGCTAACCTCCAACGGCGCCCCGCTCCTCCCTCTGCTGCAGACACCCACCCAGCCACCATGGTGCTCTCCCAGAACATCTCCGTGTCCCTGTCCATCCTGTCCCTGGTGGCCCTGGTCGGCGCGGGTGTGGCTGTTGGCTCCGGCGTGGGTGAGTCGCGCCGCCGCACCCGCAGCCGCAACGGGACAACCCGCCCCCACCCCTAAATACCCCCTTGCCTGTTTGGGTTTGTGCCAGGCCTCTGCCTGCCTGCCCCCTGGCCTGCTCTAACGCAGCAGGCAAGGCCTCGTGCTGCCGCCCAGGCTCGCCGGGCTCCTCCCTTGCTCGCATAAGTGCCTCATCCTCGCCCGTCCCGCCTCATCTGCTGCAGGCATGATGTCCATGGCGGCCCTGGAGCAGGAGAAGCAGCAGCAGCAGGTGGCGGCGCACAGCCCCCTTGAGAAGGTGGTGGTCAGTCGCAGCTTTGCCGCCTCTGGCCAGCACCAGTAAGCAAGGAAGCTGCTGCTGCAGGGCCACCACGCGCACGATTACACACGCACGGCCCCAGCCCCACCTCCACCCGCCCCCATCACTAGCAAACCCCCAATCCCGACCCGGGCCATGCCGCCTCAGCCCTGCCGCGGACCCCCCGGAACGACCATACGGCGCCCCCGCCCCACCGGCGGACGCCATCTATCCTGTTCACCCCTCCCCTGCAGCGCCCCATCGCATTGATTTTAATCATGTACTCCAATCCCTCTACCGAAAGCACTTTGTTGCCCAGTCCCCAGCCGGGCCTGGCCCCCTTTCATGCCTCGTCTCCTCTTGGGCGCGGGGAGCCTCCGCGCCCCCACCCCCCTTGCCCGCCTTGTCCTTCCGCACATTTTCTGCTTCCGTGAGTGAATGGGCTGCATGCCCTGCTGTGCCCTGCGGGTTTTTGTCGTCAGGGAGTCGTTGTTTCGGTAGCTGTGTCGATTGCGGGCCACGTACCCATCCGGTTGTCTTGCCTTGATGGCCCATGCTGTTGTGCCCACCAATATACGAGCGATGTAACTTGACCTTGCGCCTGCCGAGCTGAGGCAGGAGCAGTGATTTGGCAGCGTGAGACAACAGGTCTGGGGGTTGGGTAAAGGCAGTTGGGCCGGATGGGCGGGAGGAGCCCTCGACCGTGCAGCGCAGTACAACGGCGGCCGCCACACCTCTCTCCCAACCCCCTGTCCTCCGCAACGCCGCAATCGTGTCCTTCCCTTCTGATTGCATCACCGCTTCCTCAAACGAGCGAGTGCACTCGCCATCACTTTGCGCCGCTCCTCGGCAAGGCAAGCAAGCACCCGGTATCGCCACACCTCTCTCCCAACCCCCTGTCCTCCGCAACGCCGCAATCGTGTCCTTCCCTTCTGATTGCATCACCGCTTCCTCAAACGAGCGAGTGCACTCGCCATCACTTCGCGCCGCTCCTCGGCAAGGCAAGCAAGCACCCGGTATCGCCGTCCTGTGCAGAATGCAGCGAGGCGAGATTCACGGGCTTGGGTGGAACGCGCCATTGCTGCACATGACCGCCCCGCAGCCTTGCCCCACCCGCCGCTGCCCGCCCGCTGTTGCTGCTGCGACCTGTGCCGTGCCGGCTTTCGCGAGAGGATACTTGCCTGACCTGTTGCTCGTACCCTGTATGCAGATCGGCTCCTTGCGCAGCCTCTTGGCCCTCACTGAGCCAGCTGCCACCAGGCAGGCCTCGCCGCCATGTGCTGGTCGCTGCGGGTGTCCCTGGCCTCGTATGCAACGGTCTGCGCCCTGTCGGCCCTGCTCTGGCGCCGCAACTGGCAGACCGACCGCTGGTTTGCGGCCTTCCTGGCCTTTGTGGGGCAGATCCAGGGCTGCGAGGTGCTGCTATGGCTGGACCAGGGCTGCCGCGGCACCAACCAGGCCGCCAGCGGGGCGCTGCTAGCGGTCATTGTGCTGGAGCCCCTGGCTCACGCCCTCATAGCCATCGCCTGCCCGCCCGCCAAGCAGCACCGCGGTGCGCAATGGGCACTGGCAGCGGCGAGCGCGGCGTTTGGCGCGGCCTTGGCCGCCGTGGCAGCGCCGCCCACGGCCGACTGGTGCTCGCTGCCCTGCACCGCGCCCGCCTGCGGCCGGCACCTGCACTGGGCCTGGACGACCCACATCAACGACGCCTGGCGCCTGGCCTTCTTCGCCCTGCTGGCAGCCCCGGTGGCCTTCATGCGGCCGGTGGCGCACGCCGCCACGGGCGCCGCCTACGCCGCCGCCACCTTTGCCGCGGCTCATTACCTGTACAACACGGGTGCGGCCTTTGAGTCCATGTGGTGCTGGCTGGCGGTGGGCGGCTACGCCATCCCCCTGGCCCTGTGCCGCCGCCCGGGCGGGAGGCCGCCGCGCCGCCGCGCCGCCCAGAGGCGGCCGGCCAGGCAACATGCAAGCTAGGTGCAGGCTAGGCCCATGGTTTTCCATCACTCTTCCTCACGCACCTGTTCCAAATGTTCAGCATTGATTTATTCATTCATGTGATGTGAGGCATACGTGCTTTGAAGCAGCAGGCCAACAGGCTGTCTAGGCGGCGGGCAGAGCTGCTCGTACAACTTTGGTCGACAAGTGCTGCAGCCGCAGGCCGTGCATGGTGCTCAGCCAGAAGCTGAACAGCCAGGTGCTAGCACTGTTTTTAGGTGGCACCTAAATAGCAGTGCCACCAGCCTCCACTGGAGGGCGCTGGCCCGGCCTGGGCTGGCGCCCTCCGTGAGCGACGAGATGAGCACACCATCACTTGACAACTTTTAGTGGCTGCCATCTGCAGCTGAGCAGAGATCTTGTCCTTGACGGTGCAGTTGCTGCGCTCCACGCAGCCCTGGCTTTGCGGCTTGCCGATGGCCCCATTGATGGCGGTCACGCCAAACGCTTGGCACAGCTCCAGGATGATGCCGGCGACAAACTCCTTGCCATTGTCAGACTGCAGCCTGGCTGGCACCTGGGTGTCCATCCAGATTTTAAAGAGCTGCAGGTGAATGGACAGGACAAACAGTGAGGATTCCGATGGTCACAGCCAGCATGGCAGCACGTGGCAGCAACGAAGGCAAAGGGGCACTGCTGCAATGCACCATGGGCAGGGCAGCGATTAGCTACCCTCATTTCCTGCCCTTGCCTCCCACGCTTTTCTGATACTGCAACAATCCAGCAGCAGATTGCCAGGCGCTCACCTGGCGGGCAACCCCATGCGGCCTTTTGGAGGCCAGCGCACGGAGCCACACGTGGCGGGTGAAGAGGTCCACATAGCTCATGATGTAGCGGTACTTGGGGTCGCGGCCCTCGCCCAGGTCGATCAGGTCCACCTTCTCACAGGGATGTGGATGGGGAGAGGGGCGGCATGGTAACGGGGGGAATCTCGCATGGAACTCAGCATGGCGGGCAGGTTTGCTGTGGGTCGGTGAGCAGCAGCCCTAAGTAAAAGCAAAATGGCTGCTCCAGCTAAGCCACACAATTGCTGTCACCAGCATGCGCACCTGGCACTGCTGGAACGCACGGTCCACCACGATGGGGTGCGGGGCAGGCTGCTCGGCAGGCTTCAGTGGTGCTTGGTCGGCACGCACGGGGCAGCCCAAGATGAAGATGCTGATCACGGCACGGTCAAACCCCTCCAGGCCGTAGAGGAAGGGCACCTTGCCGTCAGCACCAGCTGCCAGCTCAGTGGGTGCGTTCTAGGCCAGCTGCAGGAAAGGCAGCAGAGCAGCAAAGGAGGACCAGGGGAGTGCGCGGCGTGAGGGAGGGAAGGAGGGATAGATGGAGAGGAGGGCAGCGCCACCTTGGCCGTGCCGCACCCCCCGTGCTTGCTGCGATGCATCCGGTTGCTGCCTGATGCAGAGCACTCTCCAGTTGGTCTGGCGTCAGCATTGCACCCCTTGTATCACTCACATGTGTGTACAGCCTCTCCACACCGCTGAAGCCAGTCGCCCGCTCGTGGTGCTCCTTGATCACTCGGGGCAGCTCCTCGAGCGGCACCACGGGGCACCACCGCCACTCTCCGCTGCGCTTGACGCAGCGGCACAGGATCTCCTGACCGCCAGCACCCTTCAGCACCTGGAAGAACTGCAGCACCTTCTTGCTGTAGTTCTTGGCGCCGCCCTGCACTGCCGCCCCCCCTCCCGCACCCGGCCGCCGCCGGCCTGAGGGCGCCTGCTGGTCGCCCTGCTTGATCCGGATGATGCCCTCTACATCTGACTTAGTGAGAAACACATTCTTGGCGCCGTTTTGGCGCCGTTCTAAGGCATAAAGGATGACAGGTTGGTTCATAATTTTAAATTTGCGGCAGCTGCGTGGTGCGGGAGGGGAGAAATAGAAGCCTTAGAGACTCTGAAAGGCTAAGGAAAGGGAGGGATCGCGGGAGAGAGCGTGCCTGCAGGTAGGCCTCCCGATCACCGGTCCCCTCCTGGCGGGGGTCATGCATCCCCCACCCATCATGCATTTCAGGCTTCATCTCCCTCAAACCTCCACCATTTCCCTCTCGTTTGTC